ACAGATCCAAGGTAGTTAGCAGGCAGAATCCAGCAGGAGTCCAAAGACAGGTCAGGCAAACGGATCAGAACAGGAGCAGGCAGGCTCAGAAACTAGTCAGGATCAGGCAATCAGAGCAACAAACTGGGTACGCTAGAGAACTCTGACCAACAGCTCAAATAATCTGGCACTGATGGCTGGGACCAAACAGCTTAAGTAGATGCTGGAACAGGTGGATCTGATGAACGGTGATGAAAACTGGGCGGAGCTTGGCAGGTGGATGGAATGAATCAATAATCCAGTCATCAGTGCCAAGATCATGACACATCAATGAGTCATTTATTGATAACATTAAACTCGTAATTACTCCTTCAACGGCTTCAAGAAAGAAAAAACAAACAAACAAACAAACAGTGAACAATCCAGTTTTTGCAGTTATAAAGTAGATGCAGAGCGTCAGGTGCGTCATTTATTAGAAGAAATCATCAAGTTATTGTTGGCATTAGCTCAGCTGATGACACGCCTGAAAACAAGGCCAGATGTCTCTAATGGAAAGGAAAAAAATACCAACAGGGAGAACTGAAGTTACCAGCAGAAATAAAAGCAAATTATAGAATAGAGAGAATGAATGTAGCAGAGTTACGGAAAGTGGGCATCATGCCCTCCAGCAGTCTAAGCCCATAGCAGCATAAGGACAGAGTTCAGTTATTAACCCTTAAATCCTTGTTTTGCTTTGCTAATAAACTGATTTCATGGATCCGTTAAACTGCTGCCTACTATATCTGCATATTTTGACAATCTATTGTACTTTTTTTGCAATCCTCCTTTTGTATGGAATACCGTCTCAATAGCGCCCTCCTTGTGTTTAACCAGTGTGCTGCATTTGTGGGATCTAAAAGCGGCTCGGTCTTACGCACCTTTATAGTGAGTTGGAGCTGAAATTGTGATCTTTGTGATCATAGCAGTTTATCAGCTTAGCATTCAGTTAGCTTATTTATAATTCGTTTACCAGGCCCCGCCCTCAATCCCAGGTCTGTCAGGCACGTTGTCCTTCCAGCTGCTTTTTTAAATGTTAGATGTGTGAAGAATAAGGCTCTGGTATGGGGGTTAGTTGTTCTTTAACTTTATTCAAGATGAAATCTTTTAGTCTTAACAGTAAACAGTGTTTGCTTTGATGAGTAAAAGAGGGAAGAGGAGCCTGATCAGTGAAGATCCGTCTGTATTTCTAAGCTCAATAACAATTTGCAATATTCTTCTGTTTTATGTGAGACTCTGATGGCAGATTATCTCCACCGGACCGTCTTTCCCGTATTTCTTCCTTTGTATTCTTCTACGTCTGTTTTCGTTCCTTAAATTTAACCCCATATGTGAAGAAGTTGTGGAGTTCCAACCAAAAATGGGCTGAAAGTGAACAAACCACCCCTGGCTTTGTTTGGGTAGAATCTGGAATGGCATTTCTTTCCTCTTGCTTTCTCCTCTCGCAGCCTGAAGATTAAAGTCATCAGTCATATTAATGGCGTCCATTACAGCTCCAGATTTACCTAAAATAGGAAGTGCAATGAAAACAAAGCAGAGGTTCACCAAGGACAAGTTTTATGCTCCCATCGTCGAAGCTACGCTGCTATATTTACACACAGAACATAACATAATGAAGTGGTTTCTAATGTCCGTTAGAACGGCGTGGAACCCTCTGAAGGTCCTTCATCCAGCAGAGATCAGGAGATCATGTGGAGTTCTGCTGAGCTCTGTAATCTGTGTCCACCTGGAACTAAACAAGAACATTTCAGCCCAGGATAAACTCAAGAGCCAGATGTGTTTACTCAATCATGAGATATCAATAAACCACATATTTCTGGAAAGATGGTAACAAAAACACGCTCTAAATGAAATTCCAATTCATCCCCATTCAGAGGTCACATGGTTTATTATTCCTTTCACTACATCAGGAAGCTCCTGTGGCATCCGTCCGTCATCCAACCGTCCCATCCTCTCCTCTAAAGCTCATTTCTACTGAACATCTGGACATCTTTAGCTCCGCCTCCATCTTTCCTTCACGCTGCAGCTGTCCGTCTCTCTCTTCTTCACCTCTTAAAGGTCCTCAAATGCAGCCATCTTTAATCCATCCATGCTTTTCAGCGTATCTCTCCTTTCTGTGTCACTTTTTTAACATATTTCTATTCCCATTTAAACCACAGCAGGAATTCACTTCTTCAGAATCACTTCGTTTATTTCAGATCGAAGCGTCATCTGCAAACATCTCCATACCTTAAACCCATTTGTATCTCAGCGAGGAACTCGTCGTTAGCTGCTCGTTAGCTGCAACGTTTCTATTGGTCAGCTGGATGTTTGCTGTGACGTTTCTATTGTTCAAAGGCGAGCATTTGAATTGGGCTTTAAGGGAACAGGATGTGATCTGGGAAAGGCAAATTGAAAAGAAATGTAATGTTTACAACTCACTCTGAAAAACAGAAATCAAAAAAACATTTTTTATTTAAAAAGTATAATCTTTAAAAGGAATATTTGGACAAAATATTGTATAAAATGAAATTTGTGAAATACAAATTCTAAAATGTAAAAGGTGAAAAAATATTCAGGAAAAATAATGGAACACATTTCACTCCATACACCTCTCTGCTTGTGTAAAATGTGAAATTGCTCATTGCCTTTTGCAGCTGAGCGTTTTCCTTCGGTAACCTCCGCCTGCGAGCGCAAGCCTGTCTCTCACAGTCAGCCTGTCTCTCACAGTCAGCCTGTCTCTCACAGTCACCCTGTCTCTCACAGTCACCCTGTCTCTCACAGTCAGCCTGTCTCTCACAGTCAGCCTGTCTCTCACAGTCACCCTGTCTCTCACAGTCAGCCTGTCTCTCACAGTCACCCTGTCTCTCACAGTCACCCTGTCTCTCACAGTCAC